ATTAATCATTCATAGACTAACATTTTGTCGACAATATTTCCTCGCAAATTTTCACAAAAGAGAAAAGTGATTTTCCTCAAAACTTTTGAATGACGTCTTGACTGAACTTACTAATTCGGAATTTCTACTATTACTTATAGAGTAGATTATTCATAAAGTCTGGGTAATGAAATTAAAATTTTTCTATTATATGTTCCATATATATTAGGAGACTTTTATTTTTTAATTTATTTTTTGCACATAAACTTGTATCTTGAACTTCTTTTTCCAAAAAGTGAGGATGTCAAAATTTTAATAGATATCGGATATACGGAAATTTTCTAAAAAGATCTCTAAATAGATTAGTAGAAGTAGAAAATTGATAAAAAATCTTAACTAAATTTAACTAATTTATATTAGAAGTTTTAAGTTAATCCCACTGTAAGTGTAAAATCAGTTGCAATGTATTTCCATGATACAAAAAACCACCTGACAATTAAGCATATTGTAAAATTTCATGCTACTATACGCAGTATCTAAAATCCTTCAAATTTTATTATACACTTTTCGTTTGTTTAAAAACATTTTATTCTTAGAATCGAAATTTTACCAAGCAAAATGTCTTTTGTTTTTTAAATAAATGAGGCTAATGCTCAATAAGTTGATAATTGTTGTTCTCATTTGCATACTTCACACCAACTCCAATATTGAACCGTGAAATATATGTTAATTTTACCCAAATAAACAACGATATAGTTTAATGGTCAAGCCCATATGGAGGATTCACAAGAGGTGTTAAGTGTCGTAATGTGTTAAAGTCTTAAAATTTGTATACGTAAAGTAACGCCTAATACCTCTTTAGGCCTTTTGTAACATAACCAAAATGCTTTTAAACTAGTAGGAAATATATTATTGGCTCTTATTATACCCAACGAATCTTTCAAATCCCTTTTAACCGTTACTTTATATTGGACAATTTTAAGCCTTTAAGACATTACGACATCTAACACGAATTGTGAATCCCCTAAATATGCATTAATTTACACATCAAAATTTGTAATTTCAGAACAATCGCACCCGATATAGAAAATTGTAATAGTCCTGGCTAGTTACATTGTGAAATAATCAGATGGCATAAAGACAATAAATATTTTCAAAATATTTTCACTAAAATTGTATTAACGNATGTAACTCTGATTTTCAAACATTATACAAAATTTATAATGTGGTTGTTCACACTTGGCTGGTTATCTGGTNGTAAAATTTAAACATTTTTAATATAAGATATTAACTATTTTTAAAAGGTAAATGTTAATACAACTGTTTTATATATAATCCCAAATTTATGATATAAAATCCCCTCTACCAAAAAACTGAATTTGGGTAACACCGCTTCGAATTTTTACAGTTGAGCAATTGTCAAAAATCTGCCTTTTTATCAAAAAGTTGTTTACCAGGGTGTCTTTGAACTAATGATTGGTACTGAATTAATGAATGCACACACATAAAAGATTGCAGCCTTTTCAATTCAGCGTTAAACCTTTTTATACCTTTCATGAGCAAGAAATGGTATTATAACTTTGGTCCGATGTTTGTAAGTACCAGAATAAAAAGAGATAGACCCATTAAAATGTATACTTCAGAGACCGAAAATAACTGGTCCACATTAAACACATTGGCTGCGTTTCTTTATACATTCCTGATAATCCCATTTCACAGCCGGAATAAACAGAATGCGTTTGAAATATACGTCAACATATCATCAGGAATAAAGAAACTTTTGTAACTTTTTCTATCATAAACATTTTTTTTCGATTTTTGTGATATATCACTGTGAAAGCATTTTATGCGAGGATCGCTAACGAAAATAAAGGTCAACCGAAGTTATTTATGCAATTTTTTTGGTTGAAAAGGTGAGTTAGAAAATTTAATTATGGTGCAGAGAAAATATATGATGAAAATGCAATGAAGTAAAACAAACAATAAAGAATAGCAAGTTACACTAATTTTATTCACTTTTTTCACTAATAACAAAGTTTTAATTCAAATTCGAAAAAGTTACTAAAAATATATACATATGTTTATTAAAAGAATATAAAATTAATTTAAAATTCTAAGTAGAATTTACTTTTATAAATAGTAAATTTTCTAAAGTTTCGGCATTTAAATGGTATCGCCTTTCATTTAAAATGAAATGCGGAGCTGAAAATGCCCTTTCCACTGATACTTGAGTAGCTGGAACTCCAAGTGCAACGGCTCCCAGCTCATAAATTTTGGGGTAAATATATTTTATGCTTTCAAAGAACGAAAAGATGTTGGCATTCAGTGAAATGCGTTTATGAGTGATCTCAAAATTTTCAATTTGATTAAAGACTTGAAGAAGGTCATTGGAATCGTGGTAGCGATCGCTAGACACATTTTCTTCCTGAATTTGGTCCAATAAAGCGCCAAGTAGGTCTGGGGAGTTGCTGGAATTGTTATTGTACAGCCATGCAATTTCTGGTTGCTCAATATTTTGAAAGCTATCCCCAGTATCGCTATTAATCTATAAAAATAATAGAGTATTCATCATTAGTATTTTCCAGGGTTGCGTCTTTTTGTTCTTAACTCGGCTATTAATTAAGAAATCTACCAAGTCGACCCAAATAAAAAATGAAATTTATCTGTGATTTCTTTCGTCGGACAAATAAAAATTAAATTTATTTGTGACTGGATTTGTCGACCAAATAAAAAATAATTATTATTTGTGATTTAATTTGTCGAGCGAATTAAATCACAAATAGATTTTGTTTTCATTTGGTCGACGAATTAAATCACAAATATTTTTGTTTCTTATTTGTCGACGAATCAAACCACAAATAAAATTTATTCATTATATGAACGAATAACAAATTTAATTTATTAGTATTTGATACAACTTTCAATTCAGAAATCAATTTCATTTTTGCATTTGTGATTTAACAAATTCAAAATCACGCAACCCTGGTTTATTCATTATAGTGATTTTTTTATACGAAATAAAAATATAACCACACTACACTAAAAACAGAGAAAAAAGCTGAAAGAATAACAATAAAATAAATTCAACATACCTGTTTTATTGAGTTCAGACGTTTAGCAATTTCTTTCAAATTACTTTTTGCTGATAATCTTTGAGCATTAGTAAGCAGCAAATTGAGCCGGGATCCATGTATACAGCACTTAGCAACGATTCGTTATCTAAAATTAAATGTTCTCGTTTGTTCATAGCTTCAAAGATAAACTTTTGCAGATGACATTTGCTGAGCTCAACTGATCTCTTT